GTGGATGTTGCTTGTCTGGTTGAGGTCAGTTGAAGGTGGAGAGAGAGAGAGAGAGAGAGAGAGGAGGAGAGATAAATGGTCCAGGATTTGCTGTGTTGCATTGATGTTCTCTTTCCGCCAGTTTCCCACCCACCCTTGCCCAAACGATTCCAAAGCTCACAGTGTCAACCACCATTCCAAGGAGGGGAAGGCGATCATGAGAAATCCACAGAGACAGAGAAATGGCAAAAGAACAGTTTTCTTCCCCTCCCTTGGCACAAAAGTGTGACAGACATCCTTTAAAATGCCTGATGACTCATCTGCCTTTAAGAAGAGCAAAGTGGTCCACTTCTCTTCTGCCCTCACCCCTCTCCCTACCTCCTTTATCCAAAACCTTCCTGTCCCAGTGACCTAAATACTGCCTTTCCCCCAGGGGCATCAACAGCCCAGTAACTGCCAGTGGGGAAGGGGGCCCCGTTGGAGCCCTTTGGGCTACAAAGTCTGCCCTTCTCTTGCAACAGCCCAGAAGCTAAATGTAGGGGGTTGTGTGGGTTGCAGCTGGTTTCCCCAGATTTGTGGGACTGGGGGTGGGTGGGGGAGAGACTCTCCTCCAGCTTGCAACTTCCTGATGCTCTGCATTTCCCAGGATTTTTTTTAACTGAGAAAGATTAATTATTGTTGGAAAAGAAGAGGGTGAGATGGTAAAGAGAGGTGCCAAAAAAGATGCTGGGGAGGAGAGAGGAAACGTCACCAGGAGAGATTTCCTTATTGGGTCTCCCTGACCTGCATCCTGAGTCCATATATGGGCATTTACGTCACAGCAGCCTGGCCTGGGAACTCCAGAAATGGAAGCGCCGGGTTGCAGCGGAAGATCCGAGGCAGATATAAAAAGCGGTCCTGCGGCTCCCGGACTCTTTGCTTACAAACAACAGGAGGAAGCGAAGCACCTGCGGAGCCCAGCCAGCCCAGGGGAGGCGGGCAGCCGGGCAGCCGGGCAGGCCAGCCGGCCAGCCGGAAAGGCAAAACAAGCCCCGGGTGGGGACAGCGAGGCTCCCCCTTGCCACGTGCGCCCCGGAGGAGAGCGTCTCCCTCTTAGCCCAGTGCTGGAGCTCTGCAGCGAAGGGGGCTTTCTTCCACCCACTTGCCTTCCTCCTCTTCTTCTTCCTCGTCTTCAATCGGGACATGTTGAACCTCATGGATTTCTCCCACCAGGAAACGCCAAGACCCGAAGATGGCCAGTTCCCCGACCAAGGACAGCAGCCGCCGCTCTTGAACCAGCCCTCGAGGGAAGAAGCCCCCGATTATTTTGCAGGTAAGGAAGAGGAGAAGACCAGGCTCCACACCTCCTTCTAGAGGATCCCCTTCTGGAAGCCCAGGCTGAGGTTCAGAATCCCGTCTTCCTTGTCTGCAGAGATCCTTCCTCTAGGCCAGGGGTGGGCCCCCTTGGGCGGGCTGGGGTGCCTTTCACCATGTGGGGGAGGGGACTGAAATGGAAGATGATGCCATGGGCAAAACTGGGGGATTGCACATGGGGGAGCTCTTTCTTTTCTTAGTAAGCTTCTTTTGGGGTTCAGTGGTGTTTTGGAGTGATGCCCATCTCAAAATGGCAGGAATCTATGCCACCAGTTTTCAGCAGCTGGGACTAGGGAGCTCCTTGGAGGCCATGCACACCAAGGAAAGCTTGGGCACACACAGAGCTGTGGTCTCAGCTTGCCCACCCATCTTCTAAATGACTGAAGCACCTTTTTTATAAGCATCAGATATCAGGTATTCAATACCTGAATACCCTAAGCTAATGTAGTATTTTTCATGCTAGGCTAGTCCAATAGTCCATTAATTATTTTTGAAAGGTTACTTTTAGGAGGTGAATAGGTGGCCACCACTGCCAAGACAACATGAGATGGGCTTAGGGCTGCATCTTTATAGTGGGAGGCAGTAAAGATACTTAAAGTGGAATCCGAAGGGCTCCCAAGATGTCATCTGGCTGAACCCATGCTGTAAATTCACAAGATTCTTGGTGCATCTTTCCCAAACTTTCAAGCAAGGGTGCGCTTTCACCCCCTGCCCCCCATCTGCTCCATTTCAAGAACTTCCTTTGTAATTTGGAGGTATGATTTGGGGAAGGGTGATCTGTCCACTATCATCATGACCTTATTCCCAGGACAGCGGTTGAAGGAATTATTAATAAAATGACCCCTCAAGGAGGTCCATTTGCAATCTGTAGTTGGGAAGTTATGAGCTCCAAGTTCAGTTAAATCTGTTTATAGTTAAGCTAGACTCACTGCAGAATTGCATTTAGGTCCAAAATATCTAGGCTCAAAGAGGGATTTTTTCCTTGCACAACTCATTCATCTTCCGACTTAGGCGGTGCTTAATGGGAAGAGAAGGGCATCTATTATACTGTGGATAATGTTACTTCCTAATCTTAAACTTGTGAACCTTACTTGTGGCTGCCTAAAGAGAGGCACTTTGCATGTGCTCTGAAGCAATGACTTTCTTCATTTCTACTTCAGCCTGTCTGGGGCTATTTTTTGAATTGAGACTATCCCAAAGGATTGTCATGGTGATAAAAGGGGAAAAAAATCCACTGTTATGATCAAATATCTTAACAGACCATCCCAAACACTTGGATTCAGGTGCAAAACCAGCCTAAATAAAGAAAACTCATGATTCTCATTTTAGCTAAATTATTGCAAATAACCATGGGAAACTGGCTTATCCTAGGCCAGTCTCTGTAGAAATCTAGGTTAGTACTAACAGTACTTCACTGTCACTCGGGGTCTACGGCACAGAAAATCTGTCTGCTCCTTTTAGCTGGAAGCGCTAGGGGCTTCATTTAAAATGAACATCTCATATTTCTGATTTTCCAGGTGACTTGATGGGAGCTACAATGAACTCTGAAACGGTGGATTACTACTTCCTCTCTGGAGAAGCATCCTCTCCAGTCAGTTACACAGGCAGCCTTTTTATTAAAACAGAACAATGCCAAGACCAGGAATCCCTCTTCAACCTGATGTCAGGGATCCTAGGACTTTCTCCCTTCTCTGCTCTGGAAGCCCACCAGAGGCAGTCAGAGGCAAGCTATACCATCCCAGAGGCCCTCCAGAACCACCTGGACCTCTACTCCACCTGCCAACCTGAACTGAACATCTCTGTACAGCCTTCTTTAGCTGAGCAAGGTTATTCCTCCTTCTCAAGTCCTGACAGCCTCCAGCAGTTCCAAGCTTCCTCTGAAGTGAGGAGCTCTTCCCACTGCCTCTTTCATGAGAAGCTTTTGGACAGTAAGCAAGACATTAAGCTGTCCTCCGTCTCTCTGCCTGTGGAGAAGTTCAAATCTTCCTGTTCCCATTGGGAGCACCTCAGCCAATCTCATAATTACCTGCCAGCTGAATGTCCTCCTTCAGAGACCTTCCATCCCATCGAGGCAAGCCAAACCATGTTTTCCCAAGTGGCCTCAAAAACTGAGAATGTGCTGACTGTAAGCTGCCAGTCAGAACTCAACAATCTCTCTGAACATTCAGGGTCTTTTGGACCCCCTTTGGATTTTGGTTGCAACACTGAAGCATTCCTGACCCATGGCCAGATCCCCAATGACTTTGTGGATACAAAGGTCCCTAAACTCTCACCACAGCTCACCCAAGAATTTGAAGCTTCTTTACCCCATCCTGAAGTCATCACAGCCTTGATGAACCCCAACAGCATCAAGGTGCCTGGCAACCATCCCCCATCATCAGTCTCAATGACAGACTTTTTAGCTCATGTCCCCAGCTCTTCAGGCAACAGTTTAGGACTTAGCAGACCCCCGAGCAGCATAGCAGGGCCAAAGAAGAAAAGCCGTCGAGGAAAATGCTCCTCTAAATGCTTCTGCCCCAAACCCCATGAGAAGGCATTTGCCTGCCCAGTAGAAAACTGTGTCAGGAGCTTTGCCAGATCAGATGAACTCAACAGGCACCTCCGAATACACACTGGGCACAAGCCCTTCCAATGTCGCATCTGCCTGAGGAACTTTAGTCGCAGTGATCACCTGACCACTCACATCCGGACCCACACAGGGGAAAAGCCCTTCTCCTGCGATGACTGTGGCCGCCGCTTTGCCAGGAGTGATGAGAAGAAAAGGCACAGCAAGGTCCACTTGAAGCAGAAAGCTAGAGCAGAAGAGAAACTCAAGGGACTTGGGTTTTACACAATGGGACTTTCCTTTGGGACACTCTAAATGGCATTTCGGGGGATCTAGAGGGGACGCTGCTTTTGGGGTGGGAGTGAAAATTCATTGAAGCACTTTGCAGGAATGCTCAGGTTAGAGGAACCACCTGTCCATGACGGGTAGCATGGGAAAGAAACGAGTGTTGATGGGCACAAGGGCTGTCCATCCAGCTGGTTGACTCGCTGGCTAAGCAGAGGAGAAGGCAAGTTCCATAGATGAATGGATGAAAGAAAACCAAGGGAAGGGACAGAAAAGGACTGTTGGGTTTCAGCTCAACAGCAGCTGAAACTCAATAGTTTGAGGGCCATCTATGGTGGCCCTCAATAAAGCTATATAGCCGGTTTTCCAACTGTTAGAGCTTTCAAATGTATTTCAGCACCATGGCATGTGGACAGCTCCGAGAAGGCGAGTACGGCGGACAGGTCGAATGGATGCAATTTTCTTTCACAAAATCGCTTTTGTATTTAGCTTTAGTTAAAGAAGTATATGTGTGTGTGCGTGTGCGTGTGCGTGTGTGTGTATGAATAACTGCCTACGTTTTATACAGGATTACCTTGGAAGCACCATAATTTTTAATCAACTGAACCTTTCTCTTTCATAAGCACTTTAATGAACTGCCTGAGAAGAAGGGGCTTTTTTTTTGTAATGCTATGATTGCATTTCCTGATGTTAAAAGCAGGGTGTAAGGAGAACCCTTTGAACATGTATAAAATCAGCATGGTTTATTGCTTTTGTGAACAATCCCAGTTGTTGCTCTGGAGTTGAAAAACTTTGCTTTAATGAACATTTTGCATAAAATTGTGATTGGGGGATTTAATTTTTTAATGCAAATCTCTTTCTTTGTAAAAATGGAATGTGTTGAGTTAAGAGAAAACTGTGTTTATTTTTACAATAAACAAACTTGCTTTAATGTAGAAAGTTTTTTTTTCTTTTTCTTTTCTTTTTTTTTAACTCACAGCCTGGGCCAATTTCAACCCCACCAGTCTGCCAAAACACAGATTCCCCCCCCGCCCCAAAACATGAAAAACAAGAAAACCTTATTATCCCAGCTCCTGCGGCCTGGCTGTCCCTGCTGATGTTCTCACATCCAGCAGTTCCCAGTTCATCTTCCTCTCCCCCTACTTCCTGTCCAACATAATTCTCTTCCCCCAGCAGAGCCCTGGGGACAGGAAACTCCCTCCCATCATAATCCTAAGGTCTCAGGCCAGTCCTCCCCCGCAAAACGGCTTAAGGGAAGGAAAGCGCGCTCACCCTCCTTGCAAGGAGAACCAAGGTTTAATGGGGAGAAAGGTGACCGCAGAAGAGAAGGTCTTCCCCAACAAGAGAGACATAACACAACCTGGTGGAGGAAGTGGGCAAGTGGGTTGTGCCCTCTATAATTCAGAGCACAACCCTAACATCCAGGACAGACTGCAGGCCTAGGCAGCCCTAACTGGCAGAGCCATCCTCTACCCTGGATATGCCAGCCATGCTCCCAAGTAGCACTGTGTGGAGTGTCCAAATAAATACATTTGGAAGTATTTATTGATTTATTATTGATTTATTGATTTTATTTTCATTCAATTTATGGGGAGTGCGTATGGATATTGACTGAGCTAAGAAGTGAGAGGCTTTGTTAAGGTGTGAGGAAAGTACAATTCTGAGTGAAGAAAGCAAATTTCTAGGGCTTCAGATGAATAGGAATGCCTTAATAAAACTGAAACGTAAAAGAATGTGCAGCTCCCCTGGAGCTGATGGGAACTACCAAGGCATCTGCCTTGAAGGAGGATGTGCTGTTCCTGGCATTTGGCACCTTGAACTGATCTGCTTCTTCTCCTCAGTCAGGCTGTTGTTTTCCTGGTAGAGAGCAGATAAGCAGAGGGGCAAAAAGTCGCTTGAGATCTATTACTTACTTCTGCATGCCTGCATCATCACGTGAATATGTACATATGCGCCCTTTTCCCTTCCTCTTTCCTGAAATGTATAAGTATCAGGGGTGTCTCCCACTAACCCTTGATGGGTCCCCTCCAGTGCGCACTGCCTAATAAACACTGCAGTGAAGCCTCGGTTATTTTGCACTTGAGTCCTGCATTTTGATTCCACAAAGGCTTTTTTCCCCACTTGGGGTTATTGCTGCTCATAATGTCTTGCAGGAGAAGAGGATAAAAGCAGCTTAACTGTGATAGGTTGCCCTTGTTGCCCCCGCAGCCAATCAGCATTAGGGAGATGTGCTCCAAGATTGGCATGATCCTGGCAGCGAGTTCATAGCGGAGTTCCTGGTTTTTCCAGCCACTCTGCCATTCCAACTCTTTTTCTTGGAGGACTGACAAGGCTGGGCTGGGCAACTGTCCCACTTCTGACTGGGTTGAAACTTACACATGTTGTGACTGACTGGGAGAGGGCACTAACCCCAAATAACCAGGATTATTTTGAGTAAAAACTGTTCCTTCCTAGCCCACAGTGCTTAGGTTGTCCCACCATATATTAATCCACTGATGAGCCTTTATTTATTTATTTATTTATTTACTTACTTACTTCCAAGTAGTCCTCACTTAACAACCACAATAGGGACCAAACAATTTGTTGTTAAATGGGGTGGTGGTTAAGCGAGTTGTGCCCAATTTTATGACTTTTTTGCAGTGGTCATTAAGCGAATCACCATAGCCATTAAGCAAATCATGTGGTTCCCCATTGATTTTGCTTGCCGAAAGCTGGGTGGGAAGTTTAAATAGCGATCACGTGACCCCAGGATGCTGCAACCGTCATAAGTGCAAGCTGGTTGCTGATCACATGACCATGGGGGGTGCTGTAAGTGCAAGGACTGGTTGAAAGTCCCTTTGTTCAGCACCGTTGTAACTTCAAATGGTCAGTAAATGAATGCTTGTTAAGTGAGGACTACCTGTACTTACTTATACAGTTTATACAGCTGCCCTTCCCACTGGCTCTAGGCAGCAAACAAGGATTGAAAGCCAACCCAATATAAATAACAGCCAGAAGCACAAGATCAAAACCATTCCACTTCTAGTCTAGAGTTGCTTTGGAGTCAGATGGCATCTAAATGTAATGAAATAAGTAAATATTCATAAGACAAGAACCAAACAGATCAGCCAACAGGGCTCTCGTAACCTCCTGGCCCAAAATGCCTGGGGAACACCAGGTCTTTCATGCCCTGTAAAAGGTTATCAGGGTCAGGGTCATCCGGAGCTCTGGGGGACGCGGACCCATAGAACAGGCACTGTGACATGAGAAGTCTCATGGCTCCTGGGTGCTACCAGATGACACTCCGTAAGAGACAGAACCTGGAGGGTGTTGAATCTGCTGATCCTGGTGAGACAATCAGAGACCAGGAGGTCCCACAAACAACCTCATCCTGTGCTCTGCAGTGTTAAAGATGCCTAGGAATTAGAGCGATTGGATCTGGGCTGCTAACATACAGATGATCTCTAGATGCCTGCAGAGAGTAATGTCAATGTGAGAGACCAAAAGTGATCTATAGTCAGTTTTACCCTCTCAGCTTCAGGTGAGATTATCCACAGGTATTGTCCTCTGCCCCACCATGCACAAAGACGAAACTTTCTTCATGACTGGGGAGACCCCCCACAACCCACAATTACCCTGGGGAAGCATCACTATAACTCTCTCATTGTACAGATCTATTTTTATTCCTTAGATTTATGTTCCACTGTTTCTCCTGGAGCTCAAAGCAGTGCATTTTCCCCCACAACAACCTCCATGAGGTTGCAGCCCCATGAGGACAACCTGTGACTGCCCAACGTCACCCTGTGAGCTGAGATCTCTCCAGTTCTAGCTCAAAAGCTTAACTGCAGCACCACACTGGCTCTTTTCACAGAAGGGGAAAAGTGAGTTCACCAAGGGTCTGAACAACCTGTAATTACCGACAGAGGATGATTTTCCAGGTATTATTCAGAGTTTACAGATGAGTAACTCACAGTGGCTTCCTCAGAGCCACTACGTGTGTGTGTGTGTGCATGCGAGCGAGAGAGAGAGAGAGAGAGAGAGAGAGAGAGAGAGAGAG